AACTACGCAACAAGCAGGACTGTGAATGGAAAGGAACTATTTCAGCACCACACCCCATGAACTGGAGCTGTGGAGAACCCTGCAGGATTCACCGTGGAGGTGAGTGAACGGCTCCGGGTGCCATTAGAGAAAAACAGAGACTTTCGGAGACCTGCACACAACCCCAGGCCAGCCGGTAAGCTTGTGCGGGAAAGAGACGCACTTGAAAAGCAAACGCGGATCACGGCTGCCCAGGTCCCTGTGCCTGCAACCTAGGCTTGCGGGGAGATGTGCAGGGGTCCTCACTGAGGTGAATGTCCTTCCCTGAGTAATCAAAAATCAGGCACCCGGGCATGGGAGCAGGGTGCAAAATGAGCCATTTTGGCGGACACTGAACTGGGCTACAGCCCACGTCCTGGACCTGAGGGCTTTGGAACTGAGACCCTGGGCACGAAATTCAGGGCATGGGTTCCCCACAAAGGTGGGGCCCAAGGCAGCCACAGCACCCCAAAGCCATTGAGGCTTTTCCCACCACTCCCACTCTGTTCCCCATCCCACCAGTTGAAAAAAAAAAAAAAAAAAAAAAACAGCTCCCAAGGACACTAGGAGAGATCTCTGGTGCCACCTAGTGACCAGAAAAAAAATCACCAACACCCCATATAACAGGGACCTTTCTTCAGAAAAGACTGCTTGAAAATGGCAGAAGGCTCCCGGAGGAGCCAGTGGTGAGTAGGAAATTTTGCCCACGCCAGGCCCCTTCTGAGCAGCAGTCCAAGCACAGAGGGGGGAGCGGGCACCCATGGATGGGGCAGACCGGGTGCACAGAAGAGTGTGCCCGAGACCTGGAGCGCGGGGAGTGCATCCCGCATCACCATTTTAGAACAGGGACATTTCTTCAGTAAAGACTGCCTGAAACCAGCAGAAGGTTCCCGGAGGAGCCAGTGGCGAGCAGGGAATTTCGCCAACACCAGGCCCCTTCTGGCGTGCAGTCCGAGCCCAGAGGGGGAGTGGGAACCCACTGCCGGGGCAGACCAGGCATGCAGTGGAGAGTGTCCCCGCATCACCATTTTAGAACAGGGACCTTTCTTCAGTAAAGACTGCTTGAAACTGACAGATGCCTCCCGAAGGAGCTAGAGGGGACTGGAGAAGTTCACCCAAGATGCCGGCCAGTCCCAGAAACACAGTGTCCCAATGCATATGACAAATTAGAAAACAGAGAGTAGGGAGTAGAAGAACCACACACAACCTAGCAACTCCTCAGGAAAAAAAGCACACCACAAAAAGAAAACCACCCCCCAGATTGCAACAACAGTAACTTGGAAGAACTTCTGAGCCTTCCAGAAAGAGAATTTAAAATTGCTGTGATTAAAAAAGTGACAGACGTCAGAAAGGAAAACAATGACAACAGAAAAATAATCAACATTCAGAAGAATGAAATTGAGTCCCTAAAGAGGGAAGTAAAAGAAATGCTGAGATCAAAGAATTAATGGAGGCACTAAAGAACTCTGGGAAAAGCAATGAAAGCAGAATAGATGAAATGGAGGAAAGAATAGGTGCTCTTGAAGACACAGAAATAAAAAGAACCAAAACAAAAGGAAAGAGAAGTAAGAAGGAAAAAAGACCAAAAAACGACTTCAGGAATTATCTGACTCCATGAGGAAAGGAAATATAAGAGTTGTAGGAATACCAGAAGGAGAGGAGAGATATGCAGGAACAGGGAAGATATTCAAGGAGATAATTGAAGATAACTTCCCAAACGTGTAGAGGAGATGGGAATTGATATACAAGAAGCAAGAAGAACACCAAACTTCCACGATGAAAGGAAAAAAAAAAAAAAAACAGCAAGACACATAATAGTAAAGCTCCCAAGAATCCAGGACTAGGAAAAAATAATGAAACTGACAAGAGGGAAGAAACAGATAACATACAAAGGAAAATCAATCAGGCTGACATCAGACTTCTCCGAAGAAACACTATGGGCAAGGAGAGAGTGGAGGGACATAGTCAACAGACTCCAAGAAAACAGATGCCAACCAAGAATACTCTATCCCACAAAGCTCTCCTTCCTCTATGAAGAAAGAATAAGGACCTTCCCAGATAAACAGAAACTCTTGAATTTCATTACAACTAAACCCCCACTCCAAAATATACTACAAGGAGTCCTAAAGCCAGAACATCAGAGGGAAGAATAACAACAAAATAAGGCCAAAAAAAAGTAATTAAAAGAATAAATAAATAAAATCAAAGGAAAGACAAACACAATGGCAAATACAGATACTAACATATCAATATTAACCCTAAAAGCTGAAAGCAATTCCATTAAGATCTGGAACAAGACAAGGATGTCCACTCTCACCACTGCTTTTCAATATAATACTGGAAGTCCTAGCCAGAGCAATAAGACAAGAGAAAGCCATACAAGGAATCCAAATAGGAAAAGAAGAAGTCAAACTATCACTATTTGCAGATGATATGATAATATACATAGAGAACCCCAAAAACTCCATAGAAAAACTAATTCAACTCATCAATCAGTTCAGTAAAGTGGCAGGATACAAAATCAACACGCAAAAGTCAGTAGCCTTCCTATACACAAACAATAAATCTGAAGAAGTAGAAATAAAAAAAAAATCCCTTTTATTATTGAAACCAAAAAAATCAAATATTTGGGAATAAATCTAACCAAAGAGGTAAAGGACCTATACAAATAAAACTATTAAACAATGTTAAAAGAAATAGAAGAAGACACAAAGAAATGGAAAGTCATCCCTTGCTCATGGATTGGAAGAATAAACATTATTAAAATAGCCATCCTACCAAAAGCAATATACAGATTCAATGCTATTCCAATAAAAATTTCAATGTCATTCTTCAAAGAAATAGAACAATTACTGATGAAATTCATATGGAATCACAATAAACCCCGAATAGCCAAAGCTCTCCTGAAAATAAAAGGGAATGGAGGCATCACACTCCCAGACTTCAAACTATACTCCAAAGCCATCATCATCAAAATTGCATGGTATTGGAACAAAAACAGACATACAGACCAATGGAATTGAATAGAAAATCCATAAATAAACCCACAGACTTATGGTCAACTAATCTTTGACAAAGGAGCAAAGACTATGCATTGGAGCAAAGAAAGTTTGTTCAATAAATGGTGCTGGGAAAACTGTGTCGCTACATGCAAAAGAATGAAGCTTGACCACTACCTCACACCATACACAAAAATCAACTCAAAATGGATTAAAGAACTAGACATAAGTCCTGAAACCATAAAATACATAGAAGGAAATATAGGCAAAACGCTACGTGATATTCACATCAAAGTCATCTTTACAGACACATCACCCAAAGCAGTGATAGTGAAGGCAAAGATAAACAGCTGGGACTGCATCAAATTAAAGAGCTTCTGCACAGCAAAAGAGACAATAACAAAAACAAAGGGAAACCCACCAACTGGGAGAACATTTTTGCACACAACACTAATGATAAAGGACTGATCTCAAAAATCTGCAAAGAGCTGATGAGACTCAACAAAAACAAAGAAAATAATCCAGTGAAAAAATGGGCAGAAGAGCTAAAAAGAAACTTCTCTGAAGAGGAAATGCAAATGGCCAACAGGCATATGAAAAAATGTTCAACATCACTTGTAATCAGGGAAATGCAAATCAAAACTACCATGAGATACCATCTTACACGAGTGAGAATGGCACATATTAAAAAAAAAAAACTAGCAACAACAAATGTTGGCGAGGGTGTGGAGAGAAAGGAACTCTCCTGCACTGTTGGTGGGAGTGCAAACTGGTCCAACCACTATGGAGAGCTGTGTGGAGATTTCTGGACCTACTAAACATAGAGTTTCCATATGATCCAGCAATTCCACTCCTAGGTATTTACCCAAAGGACACAGAAACATCAATTCCAAAGAGCACCTGCACCCCTATGTTTATAGCAGCACTGTTTACAATAGCTAAGCTTTGGAAACAGCCCAAATGCCCAAAAATGTATGACTGGATCAAGAAGATGTGGTCCATATACACAATGGAATATTACTCAGCATTCAAAAAAGATAAACTCATGGCATTTGCAGCAACATGGACGGAGTAGGAAGGGATCATGCTCACCAAAATAAACCAGAAAGAAAAAGAAAAATACTGGATAGTCTCACTCATAGCAGGAATTTAGAAAACCTAAATAAGGGACCAGGAAAAAGACTAATTATAATAAAGTAAAAATCAAAATCAACAAGCAACCATAAACCAGAGATACACTATGGGAGTTTGATGAGTGAAGGAGGGTTTAGTGTCAAAATAAGGGGGGTGTGAATTATATGGGGAATATAACCAAAATGAAAATGCATACATTGTGCAAAAATTTAAAATGATGTAAAAATAAATAAAATGATAAAAAGCTAGGCAAGTAGGGTGTGAAAGTACACACCCACATGCACACACCCCAAGCTACAGACCCATGCCTTCATCAACATAGATATAAAAATCCTTAATAAAATGTCACCAAATTCAATCTAACAATGTATATATAGTTGTTTATCAGTTAGAATATATTCCAGATATATAAAGCTGGATTCATATTTTAAAAATATTTATGCAATCTGTCAAGTTAGTTGTCTAAAGGAGAAAAATGTATGATTAAATCAATTGATAGATTAAAAAAATGGTGAAATCAAATTGAGTCATGATAAAAATTCTAATTACAGTAGGAATAGAGGGAAACATTACTCAAAATCAGGCACTTGCAGAAATCTACAGCTAGCATCATATTTATTGAACACATTAGAATAAACATGCTAATGTCAGGGAAAAGCAAGAACTTTTTGTCTCACCACACCTATTAAACACGTTTCTAGAGTTCTTGCTACTGCAATTAGATGTGAGAAATAAACAGAATGAAAAATGGAGAAGACAAAGTAAATCTGCCTCTATTTGCAGACAACATCGTTGTCTGCATGGAAGACACCATGGGATGCACAAAATTGATATGGAAACTCCTAGAACAAATAAGACAATAATGAACAAGTGGAAACCCATATAAAATGCAATCCTTATTTTAACAATTAAATACTGAGGCATAAATACAATAAAATATGCAAAGGGTCTGTTCAATATAATTTACAAAATACTACTGAGAAAAACCAAATAAGACCTAGTGCTTCATGGATTATGGTGTTCCAAGAGTGGAAGACTTAACCATAGTAATGCCAACTCCTATGTTTGGGAAGTTATACATCTCTTTAAATCGATAGGTAGGCTTAACATACATATACCTATACAAATATGCACCATTAGTTTTTAACAAGGAGCAAAATCTCTGCAATTGAGGAAGAATAGTCTTTTGAATAAATGATGCTGGAGCAATTGAATATGCATAGGCAAAAAACTCCTTAATCTTGTCCTAAACCTCACATCGTATATGAAAATTAACTCAAGTTGAATCATCTTTCTTAAAAGTAAAATATAAAAGTATGAAACTTTTAAACATCGTAGAATATATTAAACTGGAAATCAAGTGCACTATATATAAAATTGAATATTGATAAATTGGACTCCAGAATATTAAATACTTTTGCTCTGTGGATGACTCTGTTGAGAGGATGAAAACACACATTACAGACTAAAAGAAAATATTTACATACATAATAAAGGACTTGTATCTAGAATGCAAAAAAATCTCTCAAAACTGGGCCTCCCTGGTGGTGCAGGGATTATTACTGAATTTGATCCCTGGCCAGGGAGCTACCCACATGGCAAAGCAGACCCCTCCTGTCTCGCCTGCTGCTCCTCTCAGCAATGTGTTTCAGTACATAGATTTGTTCTGCTCCCCACTCTCTCTCTGATGAATCCTCCTACCTCCCACACCTCTGGCTTACACCTCAGTTCTTGTATGCATAAATAAATAAATCTTTTTTTAAAAATCCCTCAAAACTTGACAGAAAAGACAAATAATTCAGAAGAGAACGGGCAACGAAATGCACAATTAACTGAAGACGCTATACAGATATCATACAGATACATGATAAGAGTCAATACCATTAACCATTACATAAATTCAAATTAAAACCAAAATGAGAGCTACTACTTACCTACCAGAATGGTTAAAACATGATAACATTCAATGATGGTGAGGCTACAGTGAAACCAGTTCTCTCACACATTGCTGGTGCGCAGAGTCACGGCTAGACGGCACCCCGAGCGGCGTCCACGTCCTCCACCCCAGCTCTCTGCAGGAGGACGGCCCCGATCACTCTCTCCTCAGGACTGAGAGTGTCCACACTTCACCTCACCTTGGCCGACATGTCAGTCACCGCAGCCAAGCCAGGAAAGTCTCATGACACTAGCTGGAAACAACGCGGCCTCTCACCGCCCGAGACTGCTTGATGCTCATCCCTGCTTGTGAGAAGGTGAGCAGCTCATCCTGGCCTGCTCTTGGGATGTATTTTCTGTCTCTCAAGATGTTCCACATAATCTTGCACACATCCAAGTTTTTACAGATTTGTTTCATGAATCTACACATACTTATTAGTAGTATTCTTCAAAATGATATCACAAGTCAGATTTATAACTAAGGATTTGATAAGGTAACTCTAGCTCAATTATTTATTTGGCTTTCCAAAATACTTGTTTAACAAATAGTTAAGATTTATTTATTTATGCACACAAGAGCTGGGGTACAGGCCGTAGATGGTGGGGTTGAGAGGATTCCCCAGAGACAGAGCAGGGAACAGAGCAGGCCAACTGACAAAATACACTGCTGAGGGGTGCAGCAGGCCAGTCAGGAGAGGTCTGAGGCACATGGCAGTCAGCTCCCTGGTTGGCTGGGGATCCAACTTGTGCACAGTGGCTGGCAGTAGTTTGAGAGCACTGTGTTTAACCCCTGGGCCACCAGGGAGGCCCCTTACCTTTAGTTTGAGATCAGAAGTGTGACTCCTTCATTTCCCCCCACTTTTAATCAGGAAAGCTTTGGTTATTTGGGGTCTGATGTGTTTCCATATGAACCTCAGTAATCTTTGTTCTATTCCTCTGAAGAATGCCATCGGGATATTTATTGGGGTTGCAGTGATTCTAGAAGGGGCTTTGGGTTGGATAAATCCAGGCCCTTTGGACAATGTTGATTCTTCCACCCCATGAGCTGGGTCTTTCTTTCCATTTCTCTACGCTTTCTATTATTTTTTTCCACAATGTTTGATAGTTTTCCTTGTAAAAGTCTTTTAGTTCCTCTGTTAAATTTATTCCCAGTTATTTTTTTTTTTGCATGTGCAATTGTAGGTGGCATGACTTTGTTAATTTCCTCTTCTAGTTCATTATTTGTACTTAGGAAGGCATATGTTTTTCAATGCAGAGTTTGGTGGCATTACATACACTCACTCTGTCGTATAACTCTTATTTCTGAAACCAGGGTGTCCCAAAGGCTTACATACACCCCCAAAATAGACCTGCGTTCTTTCTGCTCATTGCTTAACCCTTTGCACTCCGCTGTCCCCTCTCAGGGGACATTGGGATTCTAGCATATCACTCGGATGTCCCCTCTCAGGGGACATTGCAATTTATTAGTGATTATGGGGAATTGAGTTATTTCAATGCAACTTTTTGAGACATGCATGTTTCCCTGAAGTTTTATCTTGAAATGGCACAAGAAATTAAATAAAAATATCGTAAAATTACTAAGATATATACAAGAAATGTCACCGGGTTTTGTGTCGGACGAGAATGTGAGATGCGTGCTCACGATGGTCAGAACACTTCAAAACACCACTTGAAAAGAGTGATAAGGGGAGTTTGTAGAAGAAAGGTCGGTTTTCAAACATAGTGCACACTGTGTAGTGAGATATATAATTAAAAATAAACAAGTCTACATCTGGAGGAAAAGATTTTCAAAGCTGAGGTCATTTTGGTTTGAAGCTTCGAGCAGTGCACAATGATCTAACGAGGAGAAAATCGGAAAAGTGATTCTTTTCTTAGTGAATAAATTGTTTGGTGAAAGCTATTTTGGTAAATATCATCTTGTCAGCTAGTAATAACAATTAGAAATTTTCAACCCATGCATTTATTCATATTTTTATTAGAACAATGGCAAAGCGTCCAACCACGAATGAGTCTCATGACACAAGTAGTAGTAAAGATGAGCTCCACTAATCAGCCCACAATGCATATTGGGGAGTGTTACAAAATTTATCATACTGTACAAAATTATAAACAATAAAATATTGTTTTTTTTGGGCATATACATTCCTCGATGTCACCCAATTTATGTAAGTACAATATCATTCTAATATGTTACTTGGTTCCAAAATTATAATAAATAATACGAGGGTCTGTAAATGCACGTTTCCGCCGCAAACTAGCGTCGAATAGCTGGTAGCCAATGTCCAGAATGGTTCGGAGTGCAAAGGGTTAAAAGTCAAACTATTCTTTGTCTTCTAGCCTGGCTACATTACCAAGACGAACATGTTCTTCCCGAGCAGTTCTGCTTCTCCAGAGAAAGAGAACCTCGCAGCCCAAGACCGGCCATCCACCTCGGTCTTATGGGTACACTCCCTTTCATCCAGGGGATGAACTTAGGGGTGGGGGCGACCAAGGGAGATGGCACAGACCTGCAAGTAGCACACACCTCTTGTCCCCATATCCGAAGGATAAGCACCCCACAGAAGAATGGACCCATAGCCTCCCTGCTCCATAAGTCTCAGACCGTGAAGCTGTCCACAGCCACTGCAGCAAGAACTCCATCCCCAGCCAGGGAGCTGACCCACAAGGCGCAGCACCTCTCCTGTCTCCCCGCGGCTCCCCTCAGCAGTGGATTTCAGTGGATCTGCCTGTTCTGCTCCCCACTCGTCTCTGGGGAGTCCTCCCCCGCCCCGGTCCACTCCCTGCCCCTGGAGCTCAGGGTTCCTCAGGGTTCCTGTAGTGTCCTCACCGCTGGAGCATGGACAGTGTCTCTGGGCTGTGCTGATCCTGCACGTCCTGACCCCGGGATGTGGCTGAGCTGGGCAAGGTCCCCACGGAGCACGGTGGAGGCCATTCCTGGGCCTCCGCCCACCCATCCAAATAAGCCTCACCCGCCACACCCCTGGACGCCCCAACACACCTCTAGGGGGACGTGACGCGAGTCCCCTGAACCCCTCACCTTCAGAGCAGAGAGTGACACTTGCTGCAACAGCCCACATTGGTCACGTCACAGCAACAGACACTTCCAGGGAACGTGGCACTAGCAGAGGAGCGTTGTCTTAGCAAACCCTGCAGGCCTCTTTGGACCAGGTCTGAGGTGAAGGCTGAGGGGCCCGATGCCATCTTTAATGGGCGCTCAAGGACACCTAGGAGCCTGCAGCATCGTGGAAAGCGGCCTGCGGCCTAGGGGTGAAAACCTCAGCAACCTCCCACGGCGCATTGAGGAATATGGCCCGTGGCCCCGACACTCCAGGTGGAGTTTAAAGGGACCAATGTACCTCCTGATTCAGTCCTAACCCCTGAATCAGGGAAGATGCTCTCAGGGGACAGACACCCCGACAGTCACCAAACTGGAAACACAGGATGGGGGCTCTGGCCATAGAGATGTTCCTGACGGAGGAAGCTGCGTAGAGGGCACGGACAGGGAGGAGCGGGCGCCCAAGTCCCAAATCCATGATCAGAGAAACAATCCCCGACGGACGGGCCCCGAGCCCAGCCCTGCAGAGAGGACGCTGAGTAGCCTACACAGGGCACGACTGCAAATCCACAGACCGAGGCTAGGTGTGGACATGCAGGCGATTAACGGGGGCAAACTCAGCGGGCCTCGGAGCCTCGGGAGAGCCCTCAGGCCAAGCCCTTCAGCAAGAGACACGCCACAGAGACCCCCACCACCAGCACCCGCTCCCTGCCCGCCACAGCCATGGGAGCCCCTGCTTCTCCGCCCCAGCAGCCACCCCTCGGGACCGTTCTGCTCAGGGAGCTTTCTTGTCCTTACTCCTGTAGTAAATCTCTGGCTCTTCTGAAACTCTGGGCTCCACCTGGAAGTACTTTCGTACCAAAGACAAGAAATGAGGAAGAGCACACCCGAGGCCTCAGACTCCGGGCCTGCTGCACAAACTCTCCGCTCGACATCACCACGGAGCCAAAGAAAGACCCCAGAAGGTGCCCGGGGCCCCTGAGGGGGGAGTGGTAGCGAGAGTTACATCAAGGACATCATCAGCCACCACCTAATACACCGACCACTCACCCCAAGGTATGAACTGACTCAGACAAAGACCACATTCAGGGCACGGCCAGCAATGGCGGAAGGGATTATGTTCTGAACAAAGAGTGAAGGAAGAAGACCTGGATTACATCATCACCTCCAGGAGGAATACAGGGGAATGAAGAAAGGATCAGGGGAAAAAGACAAAACTAGCAGGCAGATGACAGAGCTGAGATGCCAGCAGGGGATGGGGCAGAACAGGGGCCAGGAGGGGAGGAGCAGCACCAGGGCCTGGGGTGACGGGTCTCAGATGCGGTGCAGACAGGACATTTGCAAGAATTATACAGAAGGGGAGCAATCCAATAGTGCACAAAGATGAACAACAATTTAATAAAAAAAAAATAACAGGCAAGAAACCTTTCCTTTAAAAAAAATTCAGGGGCCTCTGTTGGCGCAGGGGTGAAGTCTCAGCACTATGAAGCTGTTCTCAGTACTGCAGACACGAGTTTGATCCCTGGCCAGGGAGGTGCCCCACGGGCACAGTAGACCTCTCCTGTGGCCCCACTGGCCCCCTCAGCAGTGGATTTCAGTAGATCCACCTGTTGTGCACCCCACTCTCTCTGTGGAGAATCCTCTCACCCCCTCATACCTCCGGCTTGCACCCCAGATCTTGTATGCAGAATTAATCTTCCAACAAAATTCCCTTATTTTGTAGAACTGGGGTGTAGACCAGAGGTTCGGGGGTGAGAGGATTCACCAGATACTGAGTGTGGTGACAAACAGGCAGAACCACTGAAATACATGGCTAACGGGAGCAGCGTGTGACACAGGAGAGGCATGTTGTGGCCATATATGGGGCGGCTCCCTAGCTAGGGCTGAAACCCTGGCCAGAGCAGGTAATAGCGCTGAGATTTAAACCCCGAGGCCACCAGGGAGGCCCCGAAAATCCTTCATCATGAAAGGTAGGTAAAGACAGCCGCAGACCTCAACCTATAGCCAAGAGCACACAGTTCAACATTTCCTTCTAGAGGAGGACATTTTGGTGGTGAGCAATTCCAGCATCGGGGGGCACCACAAAGACTTAGAGTACTGGACAGAATGTGACGACTAAGTTAGAAAACCCAGAGAGACCACTTACCCACGCAACATGCAGTGTGCCATGTAGACAGACAGCTGCTGTGGACAGGCATAGCATCGCCCAGGAACTTAAGAGGATACTAGAAGCAACGGCAACAGGAACAACGACATCATCACTGCATGAACTTGGGAGAACAGAGTGAACCAGGTAACTCCAAGCAATTAAGATTGAAACTATGTCAGTTCCCATTGATCTCAGCTGCATGATGTGGTTTGAGCTCCTAACTTTGAATATTTTTAAAAGATTTTTATTTATTCAAGCATACAAGAACCAGGGTACAGGCCAGATGTGTGGGAGGGTGAGAGGATGCACCAGAGACAGAGCGGGGAACAGAACAGGCAGACTGACCGAAATACAATGCTGAAATACACGCAGCGGGCCAGACAGGAGAGGTCTGCCGCACCATGGGGTTGCTCCTGGCCAGCCAGGGAATCAAACTCCCACCACAAAGGCCATGGACAGCTTCACAGCGCTGCGCTCAACCACCTGCACCACCAGGGGAGGCCTGCCTGTCCACTCTTGACATTCATAGCATTTCCTTCCAGTGTGGAGTTTGTCATGCCTAGTGAGGGCTGACTTCCTGAAAAGTTTTCCCACTCTTCACAATCATAGGGATTTTGTCCAGTGACATCTCTGATGTCCAGTGAGAGCTTGCTTACTGGAAAAAGTTTTCCCACGCTCTTGACACTCATAAGGCTTCTCTCCACTGTGATTTCTCTGATGTTTACTGAGGGATGATTTCTGGCGGAAAGCCTTCCCACATTCTTGACACTCATAGGATTTCTCTCCACTATGAATTCTCTGATGTGTAATGAGGTGTGGCTTACTAGAAAAAGCTTTCCCACACCCTTCACAATCACAGGGTTTCTCTCCAGTGTGAATTTTCTGATGTTTACTGAGGGATGATTTCCAGAGGAAAGTCTTCCTACACTTGACATTCATAAGGCTTCTCTTCAGTGTGAATTCTCTGATGCTCACTGAGGTAACACTTACTGGAAAAAGCTTTCCCACACCCTTCACATTCATAGGGTTTCTGTCCAGTGTGAATTCTCTGATGTCTAATAAGGTGTGCCTTACTAGAAAAAGCTTTCCCACACCTTTCACAATCATAGAGTTTCTCTCCAGTGTGAATTCTCTGATGGAGACTGAGGGATGACTTCCTAGAAAAAGCTTTCCCACACTCTTCACAATAATAGGGTTTCTCTCCAGTGTGAATTCTGTCATGTTTATTGAGGTTTGATTTCAAGAGAAAAGTCTTCCTACACTCGACATTCATAAGGCTTCTCTTCAGTGTGAATTCTCTGATGTTTACTGAGGGATGATTTCCAGGGGAAAGTCTTCCTACACTCTTGACATTCATAAGGCTTCTCTCCACTGTGAATTGTCTGATGCTCACTGAGGTAATATTTACTGGAAAAAGCTTTACCACACCCTTCACATTCATAGGGTTTCTCTCCAGTGTGAATTCTCTGATGTCTAATAAGGTGTGCCTTACTAGAAAAAGCTTTCCCACACCCTTCACAATCATAGAGTTTCTCTCCAGTGTGAATTCTCTGATGGAGACTGAGGGATGATTTCCAGAGGAAAGTCTTCCTACACTCTTGACATTCGTAAGGCTTCTCTCCAGTGTGAATTCTCTGATGCTCAGTAAGGTGAGCCTTCCTGGAAAAAGCTTTCCCACACCCTTCACATTCATAGCATTTCTCTCCAGTGTGAGTCCTCTCATGTAGAACAAGAACTGACTTACAGGAGAACACTTTACTGCACGCCTGACATTCATAGGGTTTCTCCCTTGTATGAGTTCTCTGATGGACACTAGAAGCAGGTTTCCACCTGAAAGTTGTCTTACACACCTGACACGGGTAGCGCTTCACTCCCGTTTGAGATTGTGGATGTAAAGTGAGGGCAGTCTTCCATGAGTAAGTTTTCACATAATCGTTAGAGCCAAACAACTTCACTGCAGTGAGATTTCTCTGGTATCCCCTCTGTAAGGAAATCTCAGCGGTGCCCCCACACTCATCAGGTTGATCGTCTGCTTGTGTTTTCTGATGTTCAGTCAGAACAGAGGTTTTAGAGGCCGCTTCACCATATCTCTTATATCCCAAATTATTCTTTCCTAACTGGGTACTCTCACACGGATAGGTGTGAAATGTTTTTCTGAGACTGGCCCCACTTTCACAACATTTCTGCTGCTTATGTTCAAGATACCTAGGAGGATTCAAATGAACTGGAGTCATCTCCGCTGCTCTCCCCTTTTCATTACAACTGCAGGGAGTCTGTCTTCCTTGGGTTCTGTCTCGGACAACGAAAGGCACCTCATCACGGGTGTCCCTGCACTCATTGCATTTACGGACAATCCCTTCCAGAAGGGCTCCTCTAGGTGTAAATACTATTTCTTCACTCACGACTTTTCCTTGTTCACAAAATTCAAAAGGCTGTTGAAAGTTCTGAATCACCTGGTGACTAAGGTGCTCAGGATACTTGATGGGTTCCCTCATTCTACTAAAAACCTCCTCGTTCTCTCTAGCATGCCCTTCATGAGGCTCACCAGGGATCATCATGGTCCTATGTATAGTAAAGTCCTCAGGCATCATCGCTGAATTGTTTTCATTTTTGATACTATGGTTCAAACAATGAATTGAGTGCAAATTGTTTTTTTCCATTAAGTCAGTTCTCTCGTTGGATGGTATTTTGCTGCTGGTGGTAAGAACTTGCCACACATGTCTGCCCTGATTTGCAGGGCTGTCCTGAGTCAGGTGATCCACAGTATGGACATCTAAAGTGAGATAAAAATGACCATGTCTCTAAAAAGGAAGCATTTTGAGTGAATACTACCAAGCGGCACGAAAGTTCCTATATTACAAAATAATTTACAGGTATTAATTTTCTGATTCATGTGTTTTGCCCATAGTAAATTATGGGGAGAATAGATTTTTTGGTATTTTTTTACTTTAGCATAGGAGATCTGGGGTGTAGGCCAGAGGTGCAGGAGTGGGGGTGCTGTAGGGGAGTGTGCTGTAGGGGAGTGTGTTGACCAGAACAGGCAGACTGACTGAAATACACTGTTGAGGGGAGCGGCAGGTGAGACTGGAGAGATTTGCTGTGCCAAAGTCGGTGAACTCCTTCACTGTGGATCAAACTCAGGCCATAATAGTGAGAGCTAAGAGACTTAATCCCTAGGCCTCCAGGGAGGCCCCAATTAACAGATTTTCTAATGCCAAACCAGGATAACAAAGCAGTAAATCTAATTTCACAATGGTTTTATAAAATCATAAATATTTGCTAAATATAGTCTTTTAACTAGAGTTGTCGATTTCAACCAGAAGCATTTCACCCAACATAGATCCTACACACCTTCTTTCTTAGACTGACCCTGTGCAACTCTTGAGGGTACTTTCTGAATAACCAAGCCCTGCAGAGGCCATGGCTTTCCCAGAAACCCGTGGACTGAGAGACCCAGTCATTGCCCAGGCACTTTAAGCAAGAGGCCTGCTGAGACACAAGGACTCTGCTTCTCCATTTCCTTAGTTCTTCTTTCGACTCTGGCCCTGGCCACGGTCACCTGCAGAGGTTCTCAGAGGCATGTGCTTCCCTCCATGGAAGAGACCAGTCAGTTCATATTTAAATATCATATCACATTAAGGCTCAGAATCCTAATACATGCAGCAAACTCCGCCTCATCATTGTGTCCCACGTTCCTGCTAAGTGATAGGAAAAAAGTTCTGCATCCATCCTGTGCTATCAGCGTTAAAGTCTTTTCTCACATCCTTCTGAGAGCAACACCCTGGTGGTCTCAACGCACTCCCTGGAACCTGTGTTTCTGCTTTGTTCATAGCAGCTCCAGTTTCTATGTTGTGTGTGACTCTCAGCTACATCACACTGTCGTAGATTCCTTTACTTTCCTCCCAACGATTCCCACGAGAAGGTGGAATTGCACAGGTCACACTGCTCCTCAAGGTATGAGCCCCCGACCTGAAACTCTTAGTGCCATGGCTTTAGAAACCACCACCTCAGGTTCCCCCTCCCATGTCACAGAACATCCCTTCCAACGCTGAACAATTCTGGGTCCTCCTCAGCCTCACAATTACTATGAGGGCGGTCACAAGGCTTGCCCTGAAACACTACTCATGTTCTAAATAACTCTCCAGTCAACGCCTCTCTATCCCTTTTGAGTTAGTCACCTGCTCAGTGACATCTCCAATAGCAATACATAGCCTCTATCCCAGACTGCAGAGGGAACTATAGATATGACATGTCAGTGCAACCCATTCACCTCACCTGAGCTCTGAAAGAAAATAATTAATCTCTATAATGATGCGTATGGAGCACACACAAAAACAACATTCTCCACTCTGTTTAACTCATGCTGGTCAAAGATCTCTGTGGCTTTACCTCTCTATTAATAAATGTATTTATTACATATTCTTTCCTCACAAAGTGTATAACTTCAGAATGTAAAGATCATTTCTGTGAGTACTGTTGCTCTCCCCGCTCAGAAAATTTACCACTGGCTAAACTTCCCATAAACATACAGAAAGAATAAAAAAAAATTCCTCAACAGGAACCTAAAGAAAACAGTCTATGAGAATACACTAAGAGAGAGAATAGAGATATGTGATTACTGCAGAATCATCCCCATGTATCAGGGACTGCATACTGGTTTAAGAACATAAACAACCATTTTTAAAAGAGCAGGACGAAATTCACAAGAGAGTAATATTTGGAAACTGAATAAAGAATCAGTTTGATATATGCAGACACACTCTTCAAGATTGGACACTGAAAAAGCACCTCAGTGTGGCCAATATCACTGGCCACACTCCCAGCCTCCTCTCAGCCTCCCGGCCTGGCAAGCACTGACTGACCTGAGAGGTCCTGGTTTGGGGGATCGTCCACAGTCCCCGGCTGTAATCCCTGCTCCGACCTGATGCTCTCCTCAGGATCGGTAACACAGTGCCCTGTGATGAGAAACAGTGTTGGTCTTCGATCAAGTTCAACTTCAGTCTTTGAAAACTAACAAATGCAGTGTGAAGAGCTGTGCAAAAGAGGCCAATCTGAATCTTTCCAAACGAAAACCGAAACACCCACAATGTACACTGCCTGCCATGTTCAACCTCACCAACACTCAGTTTCATAAGCAAGTGCACACTTATCAGTGCAGAAGACACCATTGCACTAGAGTGTTACACTGGAGCTTCCTCACCTAGGGACACCAGGTGATTGCAGGTCTCCAGCATCACATCCCGGTACAGGGTCCTCTGAGCTTCACTCAGGTACCGCCACTCCTGCCACGTGAAGTTCACAGCCACATCTTCAAATGACACCATCCCTTCTGAGGGAACATTTCTCATCTCAGGGCCGGCAGCCTGGGTCAGACAGAGCAAGTGCAAACAAATCTTATTTTGTGGGTCTTCGGTCCTGTATAGAATTCGCAGTTGAAAGAGCCTCGCCTCTACATTCACCCCTTTGGTCCTACAAGTAAAATTATAGCTTACCTTATATATTTGAAGTGTCTATGATTGTAAGAATAAAAGGATGAATAAAATTGGCTCCTTGAGGAGCTGATAGCCTGGCTGGCAGGTGTAACAGACATACACCCGGAATCATGTGCTAAAGGAGCTTCATAACAAATGAAAAGCATGTGCAACTTTGTGCCAATATTTTACTCCCGTGACCTCAAAGCCTGCTATCTCCAACTCACAGTAAACGAAAACTGAACCCGAAAACAGGATGTTCAAGCAATGAGGTGGGAAAAAGCAAAGGTAAGAGATGTTCAACTACAAGCAAGTATAAACCAGAGATGCACTATGGGGGGTGGAGAGATTAGGGTTAAAATAAGGGGGGTGGGATGTATGGGGACTATAACCAAGATGAAAAATGCATAACTTGTGCAGAAATAAAAAATGATGTAAAATATATATAAAATAAAATTTTAAGAAAAGATGTTCAGCTGACAGAGTCAGAAGAAGACAGATCAGGTCATCACTTCTAAAATGGAAGGACAAAGGGGAGGAGAACTTGGTAATAACTTGGTGGCTGAGGTACGAGGAATGTTTTCCTAATATGCTGTCTGCATGACGGGCTGGTAGACACTGGAATTCCACACACAACTGGACATGTGTCTGGTAGATCAGGAAGTCTAAGGTGAAAACAGAAATTTGGGAATCAGGTCCTCCCAGGTGGCACAAGAGTTTAAGTCTAAGCACTATGAAGCTATTGGCAGTTGCTGCAGCAAAAATTCAATCCCCAACCAGGGAGCTATCCACAAGGCGCAGCAGACCTCTCCTGTCTCCCCGCTGCTCCCCTCAGCAGTGTATTTCAGTCAGTCTGCCTGTTCTGTTCCTCGCTCTGTCTCTGGTGAATCCTCTCACCCCCTGCACCTGTGGCCTACACCCGAGCGTTTATATGCATACATAAAATAAATATTAAAGAAAATAAAGAATATGGGAATCTCCAGGATATTATTGATAGTTTTCATCACCGTAGGGGAGAACACGTTGACCAGAACAAAAGGTATTGAAAGAACAGGAAAAACAACTAGAAGAGACAGATATTTCTTTTCGAGAAAGAAAAAAATAGATCATAGCAATGAAAGAGTTTTGAAAAATAAGATACACGGTATAAGAAAACAAACATCTTATGAAATCCGTAAATTTATTCCATCATTTCCTTTCCTGTGTAGTAAATCCTGTGCACCTCCACATACATATAGAATAGGAACCCATTAAAATAAATTTCCATTTGTATTAGCTAAAAAAGGATTCAGAGGATTTTTCCTCAACACAAATCAAGTCCTTGACAGCCACAGGCGACATCAACATTCCCAGTGAGAGAAGGACTAACAAAGACGCTCAGTGTCCCCTATTCAAAATGGGTTTGGGTGACGCTACGTAACAACAACAACAACAAAAAGACAACATACATAAAAATGGTCATAACTAGTTATAATTCATTCTTGGAAAACTAATGAAAGCCACAGGAAAGCGACTCTGGAAAGGAAAACCCAGTGAGCAGACTATAACACACACCCATGTTCACACACACAGGAGCTCCTGTACGCTGCCAGTGAAATGACAAAACAGTAAGCAATGCATGTAGCGGAACCAAGGGCAGAGACTTGCTGGAATAAAGAAACCTGGAGGGTTAAACAATGAATAAAACAAATGCAAAGACACAACAGCATCCAGGACACGATGAGCCTGATGCACTGACAGGAACTCTTGCAAGGTAACCCGGCACATCCCAGTTCTAGGAAAACAAAAATGCATTTACTTACAGGCTCATTGATTAAAACACTAATACGAGAAATAAAACAACAGCAAAGAAAGAGAAGGTGGATGGCTCATGTCTGCGCACAGAAACTCACGGGGACCTCCCAGCAGGAGTGGGCTCAGGATGCCATAAAAGGACCATACGATGAAATGGGACAATACAATCCCCTCACGCTTTCGACCCTGTTCAAAATGGAAATGTGCAGCAATGAGTAAAGGACTGGAATACACAGCTCTGCAAATCACATACCCAAGCGGGTCCTAACACATGAACGTTCTCAATACGATCAGTCACGAAGGAAAAATGAATCAGAAGTACAAGAGATGAGATTTTACGTCCGCTGGGATCGCAATGATTTAAAAAGAAAGAAAAGAACAAGTACTGGCAAAAATTTGGACCTGGCTCCCTTGCGCACTGTTGGGGCAAACATAAATGATGCAGCCAGGAGGGAAGACAGGAAGGTGATTCTTGGGAAAAGGGAAATCAGAATGACAGGAGTACCCACCCCCACCCCAGGGTGTTCACCAATAGCAGGGACAGCAGGAACGGGCAGAGACGTTTGCTCACCTACTGTCACTGCACCACCAGTCATTACAGCCCAAAGCAAAATCAACCCAAGCCCCAGGTGATGGATTAATGGATAAATAAGACTGGAAAATACACATAAGATATTATTAATGAGCCTCACAATGGAACTAAACAATGACACACACTACAATATGAATGCACTCCTGTACGATACCTATGAAATGACAAAACAGTTAACAATGCAATAAAATAAGAGATTCACCAAGAAAACAAGGTGTAATAAGACTCCATTCATACAGGTCTGAGTTGTCAAACTCTTGAAAACAGAAAGCAAATGGTGGATACAGGGGCTGAGGGACAGAGCAGTTGGGAGCGAGAGTTTAATGAGTACAGTATTTTATTACTGGGAAATGAAAAAATCTGGAAGGTGGTGATGGCTGTATAACACTGGTAGCCAGAGAGCTACCCACATGGTGTGGCAGACCTCTCCTGACTCTCCCACTGCTCCCCTCAGCAGAGTATTTCAATAGATTTGCCTGTTCTGCTCCCCACTCTGTCTCTGGTGAATCCTCCCCCCTCCCACACCTCTGGCCCATACCTCAGTTTTTGCATAAATAAATTCATCTTTAAAACATGAATGAATGAATGAATGAATGAATGAATGGAGGGCCACGTTTTCTAGGAAAAGGAGAAAAAGAAGCAACAGTCATGCTGGGCAGAAGAGCAGCCACTGCTGCTCCCCACAGTGCAAAGTTTTATAAAATGAAACACTTGCATGGTCACAGGTGACAGAAGAGCTGGTAAAATTAGGTTGCAAAATATATTCATTCTATCAATATTCTATAAACATCTATCAAAATTAAAAAAATCTACCATTAACCGTAACTTCAGCAAGAATCATATGTATGACAAATGCAAACGCACCTACTATACTCCAGACTTGATGACAGAAACCTGAAGCTCTTTATTAAAAACTACATTGAGCATCACTGACATAAACTCCCAACAACCAAAGGTCAAATGATGAACATCTGCGCTACCTGGTTTTACTCAGCGAGTGTCTGTGTCATGACCCTTGTTCAAACGTGTCCCACTGACCCCTGAGTACTTTCTCCCCCTGAACTCTGAGGTGTCACCACACCCTGGCCAGTCGGAGGCAGAAAGGGGAGCAACCTCATCACTGAGAAAACACATCCATCAGGTTTGGCTAAGAATGAGAACTGTAATGTGAAAGAAAGTGAACACACACACTCACACGCATGCACGCATGCACGGCGGTGCTGTTGTTAGCAACCATTAAGATATCAGGTAATACTGAAGAGTAACTTGCATTGGGTGAGACTAAACTTTGGATCAGAGTAATCCCTTTCTGGTGGCGGGAGACCTGGGCTGAGAAGGATCTAATTCCACACGGGAGGGCACAACACAGGACGAGGTTTGCATGTTTCATGAGCAGCAGGTGCCATTGGGACGGCTACAGGCGCAGTCAGGTGGGAGCCGAGCCTGTGGTACTAGGCCTGGGCAGGAGGCCCATGCGCAAGTGTAACTGGCAGAAGTGGCAAAACACAGTTGACTGACTCACTAAGGAGAAGTGCAGACTGAAGACGGGAGACCAGATCGGAACACAGGGACTAGCTACATTCAGAAGCACAAGATACTCAAGCATTCAGGGACACAGAAAATAAATCATCAGAGAGACCATGACAGAAACAAACACAAAGAAATTTGCATCTTCCAAAACACTGGAAATGGAGGAAAACTCACCAACACATACGACGAGGTCAGCATTGCCGATACCCTCCAAAAAAAAGACAGCATAAAAGGGAAAAATAGACCAACACCACCAAAGAACAGAGAAGCGAAAATCCTCAACAAATTCCAACCGAGTTAATGCAGCAACATGGAGTCTCCCTGGTGAAGCAAGGAGTTAAGGCAAAGCACTATGAAGCTATCCACAGCCCCTGCAGCATGAGTTCGTTCCCCAGTCAGGGAACTCACCCACACGGCACACCTGACCTCTCCTGTCTCCTTGCTGTTCCCCTTAGTAGTGTATTTCACCAGATCTGCCTGTTCTGTTCCCCACTCTGTCTCTGGTCAATCCTCTCACTCACCACATGTCTGGCCTGTACCCCAGCTCTTATATAGATAAATAAATCAATCTATAAAATTCCAAATGGGTTAAATATTTGGTGATGTACTTGACAGAAAATATAGGGACACACTAAGGACAGTTGCCCCAAAGTGCACTAGGGAACACAACCCCAACACCCAGGAAAACAAAAGCAAAAATCAACAAGTGGGACACCACTAAACCTAAAAGCTTTCATACCTTAAAAGAAACCAGCCCAAAAACTGAAAGGCAGTCTACAGAACAGAAAAAGTATTTGCATGCTACACATGTGACAAGGGGTTCATTCCAAAATTTATAACATCCCCAAACAATGCGAGAAACCAACTGATGACTCAATTAATAATGGACAAAGGGGGGCCTCCCTGGTGACACAAGGGGTTGGGACGCAGCCTATGAAGCTCTCCAAAGCCTCTGCAGCACAAGTTTGATCCCTGG